CCAGCCACCCCCATCTGAGCCAGGCTTGGGCAGCCCCTCCCCCTGGCTGAGCCAGCCTGAGGGTGGCAACACCAGCTTCTCTCTCATTCTTATCCCTGCCTCCCTGCCATGGACACTCTTCTGTGCCTGGGACTGACCCCTTCCCCTCCTCTCCCCCTGCTCATGTTGGCAGAGGAAAGCGGCTTCTCTCTGTCTCTACCTGCCCCCTCTCCCTTCGCTCCCTCCCTTCTCTGTTTTCTGCCTCTCTTTCTCCCTCTGTCTCTCTCTCTGTGTGTGTCTGTGTTTGTCTGTCTCTGTCTTTCTGTCCGTCTATGTTTCTCTGTCTGTCTCCCTCTTCCTCTGCCCATGTGTTTCTATCTGTCTTTATGACCTCTGACTGGCTGTCTGACTCTCCACCCACAGGGAGGCACACCTGGCCCTAAGCTGCCTTGGCTGAGACCACCAAGCCCAGCTGTCTCATGTCAGCCTTTGACAGGGGACGGGCACCCACTATCTACCCAGTGATGGCAAACCTTTTGAGCTCGGCCTGTCAGGATTTTGAAAAACCCTAACTTAACTCCGGTGCCCTGTCACATGTAGAAATTTTTTGATATTTGCAAACATAGTAAAACAAAGACTTATATTTTTGATATTTATTTTATATATTTAAATGCCATTTAACCAAGAAAAATCAACCAAAAAAATGAGTTCACGTGTCACCTCTGACACGCGTGTCATAGGTTCACCATCACTGATACACTGTGGAGGTTCAAGGGCATCACCCCAGCTCCCCACCCTTTCTCCTCTTCCAGGAGACCACCACTGTAGCCTGAGGTTGAGGGGTGCTTACCACTTCCCCCGGGTGACAGGAGGCTGGCCAGGGAGGCACTGAGCAGGAGGAGGCACAGCAGGCCGGCCATGGTGTGGCCTAGGACAGTGTTGCGGTCGCACTGTGATAGGCTTCCAGGGCAAGGTTCACTCACCCCAGCTCAGAGGGTGGAGGATTGTCCTTCTGCTTATCACAGCCTTCTGATTGGAGCCTGGGCTGGCTGTGGTCCAGAAGAGAACACGGAGGCTTAGGGAGAAGTGAAGTGTCTGTGGTACACGTGGGATTTGAACCCAGGTCTTGCCCCCTCAGTGTCCTGATTGTCTCTGGGTCTGACCTGGTCCTGCTCAGAGGCCTCTCTCTCCAGGTGCTGTCAGGTGGGGCCCCACACAGGGCCTCCTGCACCTGCATGCCGGGCTTGTACCTTCCTCCCCAAATTCAGGGGCTCTGGGAGGCAGAGCTTGTCTTGTGACCCTTTGCAGCACAGGGTTCTTTGTGCACAGGCTCCGACACAGACTTCTGGGAGGATAGCCCCTGCCTGGTGTGCCTGGTGGGGACTGCTCTGCTGGAACCCTGAGTGATCTGTTGACCGACCACAGGACAAGTTGGCTCAAGGTCAAGAGGGCTGTGCCAGGATGGCTCCTCGGCCTCACACACTCAGCTGGGGGCTCAGTTGGGAGACAGAGCTCTGAGTCAGAGACCCTGCAGTGTAGCTCATTTCTCACTTCTGTACAGCTCAGTACTGGTCCCCTGGGAGATCTCGGAGGGCAGCATGGTGCCTGAGCGTCAGGATCAGCAGCTGCTTCATCATCCAGCCCCTCCTTGAGGCTCGCACTCTCCACTCCCCTAATTCGGGGCCAAGGAAGTCTGGAAGGCACTGTCTCCAGGAAATACGGAGTCTCAGAGTCTCATTTCTTGGCTCTCATCAAGGCTGTGTCTCTTTGTAACAAATGCCCGGTGTCAGGGAAGCGCGAATCACCTCAGGTCAGCAGAAGCAGCCGCCACCTTGGCAGCCAGGCTGGGGAGGTAGGTGTGTGTTAGGTAGCAGGTGCACACCAGGTACAGGCTTCATTTCCAGTGCAGAAACCGCTCCGGGGCACCAAGAGTGGGGTCACAGCCTGAGCTCCTGTGCTGACCAGGGTCTATCTCTGCAGCCAGACTCCAGGCTCTGAAGGGAAAGGCCTGGGAAGTGACCGGCAAGGTGACAGACAGAAAAGGACTGCACTCTATTCCGCAGTGCTCCCACCCACAACACTTCCCACATGGTGACCCATGACTCGCTGCCCATGGACACTTGGCTATATATAAGTCCTATCATCTGGGTTGTTCGTTGCTCTGTCTCCAGCACCTCGTAAGGGTGTCTGGCACCCAGAAGATGCTCAATAAACACCAACAGATGGGGTGAATGAGTTCAGGCCTGAAATGTGCCTGCTCTGTACGCTGAGGCCAGCCTGGTCTTTTGTGGGGTGGTCACTGTTCCATGCAGAGCCTGGTCCTCAGGGACAACCTGCAGCTGGTGCCTTGGGCCTGTCTCACCTGGACAATTTGTGCTGCGATGCTGTTTCTGGATAAATGCAGCTATTGGGGAGGCTGGAGCTGTGGGAGTCCTCTTGTCCCCAGCACCTGGTGGGCAGGAAATGATTGAAGCGCCACTCAAAAAAAGAGGGAGCCGATCCATAACGGTTAGTTTATCTGCACGTCAAGTGTTAGCCTTCAGGGGTAGTCCTGATGTCGCTTGGCGCCCATGCTTCCAGCACCTCTGAGAGAGGGAGGCACCGATGACTGGGGAAACTGAGGCAGAGCCAGTGAACTGCCAGGAGCCCGTTTAACCTCTTGTGGGTCGGGGGGGCTCCTGGCCTGACCATGTCCACCTCCCCTCCCCCTCCTTTTCTTCTCAGGAAGAGGATGCAGAGAGCTTCCATTTCCAGGAAGATACAAGACATGCGCTGGGCTGAGGGCCTCATCAGGTCTCTTGCATTTTGGTTGCAGAATTTCCCCTAAGTCCCTGTCGCCTGGACAGCTGAGCTGGGGACATCTGGATGTTTGCAAATCAGCTTTCTGGTCCAGGACGACATGATCGAGCTCTCCCAGGTGCCTCATTCCCTGTGCACTGGTGTCATCCTCATGACAAGCAGGAAGGGGCCCCCCATTTCAGAGAGGCAGAAACGAGGCACAGGAGGATAAGCGGTGGCTTGGCCAAGAGTTACAGGCGGAGCCAGCCCGACTCCAGGAGGTCTGGCCTATGCCAGGTCTCTTAAAGTGCACTGCGGGTCAGATGGTCTCTGGTCAGACGACGGTCTCCGTCCCAACTACTCAGCGCTGTGGTTTTAAGCAGCCATGGTGATCCGTAAAGGAATGGGTATGTCCCAATAAAACTTTATTTACAAAAGCAGATGGCTTGGACTCAGCCTTAGCTGTGGCTTGCTGAAAACTACATATGGCTTGACTGTTCAGCAGAGCAAGTCCTGGCATGCTTACTCACTTAAGTACTAGTGTTCCAGGCATGGGACAGGCCAGTCGCTGTCCTCCAGTCGTGCCTTGAGGGAGCAGTGCACCCGCTGGGCTCATATAGACAATCCGTGAATGGCAGGCTGCCAGAAAGAGTGCAGAGGAGATTCAGCCGTTTGCTGCTCGTGGGGAGAACAGGCAGCAAACAGGGTGGAGCCTTTTATGTAGCCTGTGTTATAGGAAAAGATGCATGTGCAGGACAGATCTGGAGGATATCCACAAAACGAACGGATGATGCTTCCAATTTATTTGAAACAAAGAAGAAATACTTGCATAAGGGAGAAAAATATGAGAGTTAAAAGACAGAGAAAGTAGCACTTGTCACTGAGTGAACCACGCACCCCTCTGCTGGGTCCGCAGTGAGACAGAGCAGAGATACGCCGGTGAGTGCAGGTCACGGTGCCCCGTCCACCACTGCCGAGCTTCCTGTTTCCCTCATCATCGGCCCTGCGTCTCATCTCTTTATTCACTCAGTCTGTCTCTGGGAATCTCTGAGTCTCTCTCCCCGTCTCCTTAGAATTTCTCCCCTTACTTCCTCTCTCCTCACCTCTCAGTCTCTATCTCTCCTTCTCTCTCTCTCTTTTCTTCTTTGTCTCTCTCGGTCTCTCTGTTTCTCTCCTCCCTCTCCACCTCCCCACCCCAATAAGGGCAGAAGAATTTACAGGACTGAAGCCAGGACAACCCAAGCAACAGCAGCTTTATGTCCCAGGAGCAGGCTCCTCGGAGCCGGCCCTGACAGACTAGGGAAGCGGGGCTCGGAGGAAGCCTTCTGAGTGTGTTTCTGCGCTCATGAGCCCGTGGAGCCACTCGATGTACTGGGAGACCCTGGTGTACACCCCAAAGTGGCCTTCGGCTGCACAGCCCAGACCCCAGCTGACGACGCCCGTCAGATACCACGTGCCCTGGAACTTGGTGGCGTGGGGGCCCCCGCTGTCCCCCTTGCAGGCGTCCTTGCTCCCATCTCGGTAGCCAGCACAGAACATGTTCTCCGTGAGCACTGGGGAGCCCGCCTCCTTCTTTGACTGCTCCAGGCAGTCCTGGGTCATCAGCCGGGGCACGTCAATGGCCATGAGCTCCAGGGCCGTGGCGCCCTTTTCCAGGAGCCGGCCCCAGCCGCTCACGGTGGAGAAGCGGATGAAGGCCAGCGTCCTCTCGGAGAAGGCCTTCTCAGGCAGACAGAGGGGCACCGTGTAGTCCGTGAGGGCCACAGGCCTGCTCAGGCGGAGCAGGGCGATGTCGTGGTTCGTCTTGCGCCTGACGTACTTGTCGGGGACAATGATCTGAACGACTCGCCGTTCCTGCTCATCACCGTCCTTCTCGCTCAGGTCGTGCTCACCTGTGGGGAGACCAGCACCCCTGTACCCCTCCCCCTGCAGCCCGAGGGAAGGACCCTTTGGGGCAGGAGGGGCCCTGCGTCCAACCCCAAGCTGGTCTGGGCGGCCCCCCTGGGCTCCATGCAGAACATGAATTGGGGGTGAATATGGAATCTGGGGTGCTGAAGGCACTGAGGAAGGGTCCTGGGCCAGGCAGCTGTGGGCAGGTGGTGAGGACTGCCTGATTCCCCGACTCCAGGCAGGGCCTGGCCCTCCCTGCAGGGGTCTCATTATCCCATAATTCCACCAAGCAGAGCCCCTCCCCCCCATGTTGACCCCTGGAGCCCTGGGTGGCTGCATCGCCCTCAGGGCTCTTGACTCAAGCAAGACAGGGTGGGTACAGCATCACCCCCACCCCATGTCTTTATTTGGGGTGGAAAAAAGGCTGAGGGGGATGGTGGCCACAATGACTCCTTGTGGGCCTCGGGGTTTGTGCAGATGCTACCCACTCCTCTTTTTGGAGAAGTTCATCTGCTTGTGCAAGGTGGAGGATTGATGCCCTGACTCTTAGAACCGCCGCTCATTAGGAGGTAAAAACAAAACCTACCCACTACCACCGTCAGGTTCTTCAGGCTCTTGATTCCGTCGAAACAGTGGGCGGCGGAGACCACCCAGGTGGTATTGATCAGGGTGCCCCCGCACTGCAGCTCCCCATTCAGGATCAGTGCAACCTGCCGAGGGCACCACAGACGGTGGAAGGTCACCTATTGTCCTTGGGATCCTCTTCCTGGAGACTCACCTTTCCCTGCACGCCCCCGGGATGGGCTGCATTTATTGGAGGGTTTGTCTGTATAGCCTGCCAGAGCCCTTCCTGGGCAAAGCTGTTCTAGCTTCTCTCCAGCAGGCTGCTCCCCCATCCAGCTGAGGGGAGAGAGAACTCACAGACCCCGCCTGGTGTGGGGATGCTGGTGCTGGACCCCTCTGTGGGCCTCCCTGTACTGTCATCCAGGCTTGACCTGCAAGCTGACTGGCAAAGATCAGGCCAAGCGCTGGCTTCTAGAGCAGGTGAGGGCTCAAGGACACAACAGAGTGACGCACCAGGCACAGCTGTAGGCACACAGTCGGTGCTCAATATATGTCTTCTGTCCTCTTTTTCTTCCTAAAAGCACTGAGGGTGCTGAGTGTGTCCTTGAATAAGTCCTGGGTGGAGACATTTTATGGGTGGGAAAGGAGTCAAAGTCAGGCAGGGCCTGCGGACAGTGAGGAATTGCAAGGCCAGGGAGGCCTGGCTGAGGGTGAGGCAGATCCGCCTATGAAGGGTCCTGGTTTGGTGTTCTACAGTCACCGTGTTATTGAGAAGTGTGGTGAAGCCGGATCAGCCATGGAGGAAAGAGACTGGAAATGGGTCCATCAGACTGAAGCTTAATGTCCCGACTTGTGGACGGCAGGACAAAGGGTGCTGGGGAGGTGCCTGTCTCCTCCAAACTATCGGGCCCCTCAGAGAAAAGCCACAGTAAGATGGTCCCACAACAGATGAGAAGAGCTACCTTCGAGCTTTGAGCTCAGGGCGGGGTCCCTCCGGTTGCAGACCCCTGAGCATCTAGCCCTGCCCTGGCTGACCGCGAATCTGCGGCTGCAGCTACAAGAGACTGTCTGGGGGTGGTGGTCACAAAATGGACCTGGGTCTCCCAGGCCCAACTCTCAGCTCTGCCGTGGGCAAGGCGCTGCTCTTACTGGGCCTCAGGTTCCTCACCTGCACTGGGTGAGAGTTGCACCTGCCTCTCAGGTGGGATTGTGGGGGTTGAATGATATTGAAAAGCCAGGTCTTGTGGGGTTCGGCACAGGGAGCGCGTGCTGGGAAGCAGTGCCTGCTGCAGTCACCCCAGCAAGCCCCACCCTGGGAGCTCCCCACTGTGAATTCACAGAGACCCACACCTGCCAGCTCTGCCTCCATCTCCGAGAGGCTTTGCCACCCAATTACGGGGACCCTGGTGAACACTTCAGTCCTATTTGGATGTGCCTAACTCAGATGTTCCTCTGAACGCCACCACCAGGGTTCTGCAAAGCCCAAGAGCGGAGGCCCCACCAGGGCCCCAACTGCTGTGGGAGGTGGGATGGACCCCGGGCGGCCAGGTGGGTGCAACTTCTGAGGCTGGTCTGGAAGGGCCAGATTGCTGGGAAACCAGAGGATTGGAGCTTCCCTGAGCCCAAAGTCAACCCCCTTCACCAGAATGACTGGTGATTCTCCAATTCCCTTTACAAGGTTCTCATTCATTTACTTTTATTTCTAAAAATTCTTGGCTGTTTAACACGGGGGTCCCAGAATGAAAGGATAAAGAGGAGCTACTGATTTGGGCTCAGACCTGAGCTTGTAGGTCTAGAGTGACAGCTCTTCTCACACTTGAGTGTACACATATCCCTGGGCCTCGTGAAATGCAGGTGCTGGCCCAGGAGGCCTTTGGGCCTGAGACTGCATTTCCAACTGGGACCAGGCTCATAGGCAGCCTGGTGAAGAGAGGCCCTGGAGGGGCCACGGCCCACAGACCTGAACACATGTGGGTGGGTGGGGGGTGAGGGGGTGGGTAGCCTCCAGGCCTGCGGGAGGACTTTGTTACAGATAAAAAATCGTACTGTATGATCTCACGTATGTGAAGTGTAAGAAAACAAAATAAATAGATAAAACAGAAACAAACCCATAGATACAGAGAAAAAGCTGATGGCTGCCAAAGAGGAGGGGGTTGAGGGATGATAATTAAAAATATCCTATATAATAAAAGGCTAATATGCAAATCGACCAAACTGTGGAACAACCAGCAGACTGACTGGTTGCTATGATGCGCACTGACCACCAGGGCACAGACGCTCAATGCAGGAGCTGCTCTCAGCCTGCAGGCCCTGATCACCAATAGGGCCTGCAGGCCAACCTCAAATAAAATTAAAAAAACACAATATCTGGCATACCAAAAAGAAAATCTCAGCTTCCAGAGGCAGACAGTAGGTGCAGCTTGGAAGGTGTGAGAGCTGGGTTCAAATCCTGCCTTTGCCATTTATGAGTTGGAGGGCCTCAGTTTCCTCATCTGTAAAAGGGGAGTGAGGCTAGCAGCCTGTGATGAAGCCCTGTGAGGTGTCAGCTGGCAGAGGTGCTGCCGGGAGCACTGACATCTGAGATGAATGGAGGCTGTTGTCAACACAGGACTTGGAATGAGAGGAAGCCCACTGAAGCACTGCCATGAGCAGAGTGACTTGGGGCCTGGGGTGTGGCCCTGAGGCTGACCTGCCCACTTTCCCTTCAGTGACCCTGGGGCCCTGAAGCCTTACCTGCCAGGGACACTCCCCTTTGGGACACACCTTGCCACCCACAATTCGGCCATGGGGTTGGCTGTCATTTCTTTTTTCCAAGACAGGTATTTTTCCACATGGATACTCAACTATAAAACAAAAGTCAGCAAGATGTGGGGGTTTATGAGGGATGAACGCACTCGTGAGAAGAGGGCTCTGAGCCGTGCAGGCAGTGGCTCTGCCTCTGGCTCCTCCTGGGGCTGTGGGAAGCCTCTGGGTGCAGGGAGGCCCTTGTGGGAGCTGCTGGGTGAGAAGGGCCAGGGGCTGGTTTTGCAGGAATAGAGGGCCCTACTTCTTGAAACTGGTTTCTGCTAATTTTTTTTTGGCGGGGGGGGGGAAGATGAGTGCTGCTTGAATTTCCTAAAAGATGAATGATATTCTGTCTTAAGGCCACCCAGCCTCTCCAACAACTAGGCTGCTATTTTGACCTCACCCTTAGTTTTCGGTCTGCTCCAAGAAAGTCCTTGGGCCAGGAAAGAAAGCATTTAGAGGGCAGCTGAATTTCAGGCTGCTTTGACCATGCTGGGGACACTGACTGCTGAAGAGACACAGGGCTTGGGGTGCCCCAGCCTTTGGAATTGCAATTCCATTAGTGTGAGGTTGGTTTGAAGACATTTTCCATTTTTCTAAAAGTGCTTTCCTTTCAGAAGAATTTGGAATCTGGAAAAATGCTGTGTAGTCACTAGTCACAGTTGTGTGTGGCAGCATAGATTCCTGCCAGAGGGGACTGGCAGAGGGGCAGGGGAGCTTTGTTCTGCTCCTGTGGACCCATCTGAGGTGGGCAGGGGGTCCAAAGCCCATTTAGGGAGCTGCTCCCAGGGCTCTGTCCCACCCCCTGTTGCGTTGGCCTGCGGGTCAGGGGAGCCACCCCCACCCTCATTCTCGTCCCTGCCTCTGCAGTGGTCAGCAGGTAGTAGGTGCTCAGTGAATGGTATGCCACCCATTCCCATCTGAAAGTGATACAGCACACAGCCCTTGAAGCAGATCCCCAAGGGCCTGTTACCTGTGGGTGCACAGGACACCTCGTCAGCCTGGAGTGTGTACCCCTCGTGGCACCGGCAGAAGCGCTTGGCCTCCACATGGTTGCTGCAGTACTGGTCACAACCCCCATTGTCATTCTCACAGATCAGCAGGCTGTTCTTGTCTGAATGCAGAAGGAGACAGCCCGCGAGGGGCCTCTGCTGGTCAGGGAAAGCCAGCCCTGGTGGCCACCCCGCCGAGGGCACGAAGGTGGAGCTCAGCTGCTAACTACAGAGACTGAGCCTGGCACTACCCAACGCTGCGGATTGACCCAGAAAGGTGGGACCTGGTGTCTGGGTGCTCCCCCATGTCTGAGCAGCCTACCCAGTGGGGACACAGAACCAGCATGTGGTGGTCTCCACACTACTGCCCCTCCCAGCAGCTGGTGGGCCCGGGAAAAGTAAGAGTCACCTGAGGACAGTACAAGAGCCAAACTCAGTCAGAGACCTGCCAGTACAAGAGAAATGAGACTGCTCTACAGCCAGGCCCTGATGCCCAGGGGCCACTGGTCCCAAGAGGCAGAAAAGAGGACCGTTGACCTGACTCTGAAGGACAGCACGCTGCTGTGGGAAACAGTTGTCTTGCTGTGTAAATGCAGCAGACACTAAGGCTCTCTGGCCCCATATAACTGGCAGGAAGCCTCTTCCTTCACTCTGTCTGGCCTCTGTTCTGCTTACAGCAGAAGTTGGCTGTGGCCCAGAAGAGCTCCTTCAGGATCAGAATGTTCACACTCCAAAAAGAAGCTTGGCCTTTGACCTCAGTCCCTCCAACGTGATCTCTCCATCCTAATTAAGTTGGACACTTCCTTTAATCTGCCTGAAAAGAGTGTTCTTACCCTGGGCCCCTTGACTCACATGGGATGGTCACACGTGAATATCATTCACGAGGGGCTTTGGGCCACAGGATCTCAGCTCAGCCTCTGGAGGGGCTGGAGACAGAGGTCAGCCATGTGGATGGTCAGCCATGTCTATGTGACTGAGCTCAGTAAAATCTCTGGACACTGAGGCTTCCTGGGTTGGTCATGCCCATACGTCTTGTCACCCATCAGCCTCAGAGAATGAAAGACTGTCCATATAATTGCCTGGGAGAGGACAACTGGGAGTTTACACCTGGTCCCTTTGCGGATTTTAGCCTACATATTTTTGCTATAATAAACTGTAACTGTGAATATATCAGTTTTCAGTGAGTTCTCTGGGTCCTTCCAGCAGATTAGTGAACTTGAGAATGGTCTGGGAGGCTACTGAACTTTGCAATACTTGAATATATGGAAGGTGGAAAAAAAATCTCATACCTTCGTAACAGCAAGTAGGGAAGGTCAGGTTTACCCACCTGTCTTGGTTGACAGGATATATGGCAGCTGGGCGGAGAAGTAGTGATTCTCACCTGTGCCCTTTCCAGATGGATCAGAATTTCCCAGTGCTGGGAGCCCAAAGGTTTTATGTTTCCCAGAAAGGAACAGGGGGCCATCAACTTTGAGAATTGATACCTGAGAACCCCAAATCCAAGGTTCTCCGGTTGACAGAAGCCTTCAGAGTCATTTAGATCAACTTCCGACCAAGGCGGAGGGCCAGGCCATGCCCATCAGCCTCCCCCCTGGGACCCTATCTGCAAGATATGGGACTTCTCACTTGTCTCACAGTTCCGGCCCTCAAAGTCTTCAGGGCAGAAGCAGATGTAGGACTGGAGTTGGTCCTCACAGGAGCCTCCATTCTGGCATGGATTTGAGGCACACTGGTCCCCATCTGTGGAGTGAGTCTGTGTTAGTATGTTGAGAAGAGCTTGAAGGTGGAGCATAAATGGGCCATTTACCTACTCACCGTTGTAAGAAATCCAGAACTGCGCCTGAGGGAACAAAGAGGAAGCCACATGAGACATATGCTCTCCAGAAGCAGACATTTATGGAATCCGTGCAAGGAGCTGATGAACTGGGGTGGGCAGGGGTGGGCTGGGGCTTCTGCCTGGGGCCCTTTGCCATGGGCTCTGGAAGCCAGGCTCTCCTCTGGAGATGAGGTGGGCTCATCTGAGGGGAAAGATTCTACCCCACCCTAGATGATTAAAGTCACCAGAGGTCACAACTTTCCTTCTCCGTGTCAAAATACCCGAATTTCAGCCCCAACTAGCCCCAGCTTTGCCATGTCCAAGGTGTGAACCTGGGACAAGACACATATGCACTCTGAGCCTCCATTTCCTCCTCTGAGGATCCACACACAGGGGCTGACCTGGGAGGAGGCAGGTCATGGGTGTAAAGGCATTCTAGGAACTGCCAAGGGCCCATCAATAACATTGATATCCTGAGGAATCTTTTGATCAACTGAACTTAAACTCTCAGGGTGGCTATGAGAATAAAACAAGACGAACACTGTTGAAACTGCTTTGAAAAATGAACTGGTACACAGCCATAAAGTATGACAATTTCCAGCTTGCACAGAAAGGGTCATGTTAGCCTCTGTCTCAAATAGCCTGGCTTCCTGTTGGGTGTGCGGTGCACTGAGAGTGTGAAATGTTTGCCTTTGAGTACGAGGGGAAGCATCCTGTGATTGTCAGGTGAGGTGTGTGTCCTGTGAGTGTAAGGCATGTCCTGTGTGGTCTTATCTCATCATAACCTGACCCTCACGCCTACTGAAGTGTTTCAAAGAGATGTGATAGAATTTAAATACACTCGTTTAGAAAATGGAAACAGAAATGAAGAGCACTCCATCCTATGGACCAAGGGCAGGTGAGGAAAGCAGTGGTGCCCTGGGTGTGTCGTCACACAAGTTTCTCTGAAGAGGTGTCCACGGGCAGCGTGGCAGGAGAGGCTCGCCCAGGCCACTGTCTCAGACATCTGCTCTGTCAGCAGCATCGCTATGCAGCAGGGCCACCTCTAGGGGACTGGACAGCAAGGGACACACGGCAGGTGTGCTGTTCAAACCAGATTTTCAGATGCAACATTGAGGACGCATGGTGTGGCAGAGAGGAGGATGTCCCTGACCATAGCAGGGAGGTATGGAGCATTGCAGGAGCTCTGACTGAGGAACGTGAGATCATTCTTGGGAGGAAAAGTGACCCAGACACGGAGGGGCTGTGCGTGCCGGAGCTGCCTGTGTGTTCCCCTGGGCATGTCGCACTCACAGCCACAGACTGAAGAGAGTTGCTCTCCAAGACATGGGAGCGACCTCTGCTGTCACAGAGCTCCCTGCCTGAAGACTCAGTACAGGGCCCACGTAGCTATCTGGTGGTGCAGAGGGCGCCCCCATAGAGGGGAACTCACCAGCTTCTCTGTGTTCCTGAAGATCTCCCGGGCCTCCTCAAAGGAACACTGCTCCTCCCTGCACTCTCTCTCCAGGGAGCCTGGCCTCAGCTCCTCCAGGAACGAGTTGGCTCGCCTTTGCCTGTGCAGGACGCTTTGGGCTTCCTCTTGGGTGATGAAGACTGAAAAATGGGAGTTCCACGAAACGTTTACAACCAGCCATGCCAAGATGGCCCAGAAACATCCACACTGGTCTCGTCCCCTCAGTAACAGGAGTGAAAGGATTCCTGTGTCCAGGCCTGGCTGAATGTTAGGAGCGCTTTTTCATGGCTGACTGGTGACAAATTTTATATACAAGGATGAGGCAATATGTTCATTAAATTATAATTTATCACACTGATGCCTACTGACCTGGTCCCCATGTCTAGGAATTTATCCTATACTCAGAGGCATGCACGAAAACCTAGCCACAGGAGAGCTATTGCTCGTAATCATCTGAAACAACCAGATGATGGCATCCCATGCCGCCAGGAAGCAGAATGCTTAAGAAGATGTGGTATTAAGTGAAAAAGAAGGTAATAAAACAATACCTACTGTATAATGTTTACAAGGAAAAATTTACATATGAGCAAATGTCATTTATTGAAAAAATGTACATAAATTAACCTTGGGGATCCGCAGCTATTCTGTTCCAAAATGTATACGATCCACACGTGTAACTTCTCTAATAAAAATTGGCATCTGCTGTGTCCTGGCACCTAGAGCATTTTATCAAGAGCTGCTGCATGAATGCGCTGGCGGATCCTCTGGGGGAGGAAGGTACGGGGCCACACGGGCGGGTGGCAGATGAAGAGGGGCTGGGTGTCTCTTGTCTCCATTGAAAGCCCACAGGTCCTGTTTGCTGCATGCTGGACCTGTCCTTCCAGCTCCTCTGGAACTCAGGTGACATCCCAATGGTGGTCAGTTCTCTCTCAGCTAACTCATCGAAACCCTTTGCTCATCTCTGCTTTGCCACCACCAGCTCTCTCCCTTCAGGATCACACACTTGAAGGACAATCCCTCACCTTCCACTAAGAGTCCCAGAGGAGAGATGAACCGAGACCTGCTTTGGAGAGGGTTATAGCGTGTGGGAACAGAGGGAGGAGGGGAAGCTCCTGCTCCCGGGCCACCTGGCTGACGGAGACCACATCTCTTTAACAGCAGAGTTTCACCTGTCTGTATTCCTAGGGAATCTACCAGGTTTGGAAGAATTTGAGGGAAAATCAAAGAATGGAGACTCCTGGGATGATTCAACCAGGGCTGAATTGTCCCCATGGAGGGGAGCAACTGTGCCCCAAAAAGCTCTCAGAGACCCGGAGCCAAGTCTGACAAAGGAACACACGACTACTGCAAAGAATTTGGAAAAGACAGACTAGAACAAGGGAGATGAAAGCTACCCACCACCTGCCACTGTTTTCCTGAGCTCAGAAGGGACAAGGCAGCACCGACTTTAGCTGGAGCAGGACACGGTCTCCTTTGGGCACCTGTAGTCACCGGGGCAGGCGACCACTACTGGGGTCCCCAGCTAGTTTCCCACTGTGAGATTTGATGGGATTTGAAGAGCAACATGGACCAGATTTTAGAGGACAGTGTAGGCGCCTTGTCTCCACCAGGGCCACCACTCAGTACTGTGAAGTCACAACGCATGTGTCCCCCTGTCTCCCTCTCAGGCCTCTCAGCACCCTTGCGGGGCAGGAGGGTGGCCACAGCCACAGCCACAGCCACGGGCCCATAAGGAAACCTCCACCCACCCTCTCCAGCACCCACCATACCTGCAGCCAGAGATCCCTGCAGACCCAGCAGAAAGCAGAGGAGGGCCAGCCCACCAGGCTGGGCAGACATGGCGAGGTGCATGGAGTCCTTCCCTGTCTGTTGACATTCTGGTGGGGGAGGTGAGCAAAGTTCTCAAATTACCCCGAGGGAGGAGGGAGGGAGGCCTAGCTTCCCAAGCCCTCGCTCGGTGCCAAAGGCCACTGGAGGGGGGATCAGGAGCGGAAGGACCGGGCCTGAGCCCAGGACGCCGGGTCCAGGAATCCAGGCCCAGGTAGCATGGCTGAGTCTTTGAAGCAGAGGTTCGTTCTTCGAAATGGAGTTGTTAGGATATGCATCTGGCACAGGCATCTCCAATGCAGTTTAGGATTTTGAAGCTCATAGATCTATCACGGCAACTGGGAAAACAGAGTTAAACTGCAGTGAAAAGCCACAGCCCACAGTGACCACACTAGTCACAGGGGAGCATGTGTTGAGTATGAATGTTCATGTTTGTAAGGGAGCCATGGAGGAGACGCATGGGGCTGCCCTCCCCTCAGAGGCGTGGTTTCTTAGGGGAGCGAGAGTGTCCGGTGGAGAAGCCCAGGTAAAGGGGCATCTGCCCCTAGCTGGGCCCTCAACTCTGTGTTAGCGACAGATGGCACCCTTCTGCCCCTGGCATCCAAGTCTTGTCCCTCCCTTTCCGTCTGGTCCCAGGGCACAGCTAGGGCAACTCCCTGTCCGGGCTGCCTCTGTGGAAATCATATCCTTTCTGTGAATGGGTGGGGACTGGGGACACCAGTGCTGCTTATTTCCGGCCGGTCTCAGCCCTACTCGCCAACAGGAAGAATCAGTCCTTAGAGGAGCTGTTTTACTGATCACCTATGGAATTTTAAAAAACATGTTTTTATTGATTTCAAAGAGGAAAGGAGAGGGCGAGAGAGATAGAAACATCAATGATGAGAGAGAATCATTGGCTACAAATTGGCTGCCTCCTCCCCCATCCCTACCTATCCCCCACCACCATTGGAGATGGAGTCCGCAACCCAGGCATGTGCCCTGACCAGTAATTGAACCCTGACATCCTGGTTCATGGGTTGCCGTTAAACCACTGAGTCATGCCAGTCAGGCACTTCTGGAATCCTATCTAATAAAAGAGTAATATGCAAATTAACCATCACTCCAACACACAAGATGGCCACCCCCATGTGGACACAAGATGGCCACCACAAGATGGCCGGCAGGGGAGGGCAGTTGGGAGGGACCAGGCCTGCAGGGGAGGGCAGTTAGGCATTGATCAGGCTGGCAGGGCAGTGGTTAGGGGCAATCAGCAGGCATGCAGGTGAGCAGTTGGGAGCCAGCAGTCCTGGATTGTGAGGGGGATGTCCAACTGCCCATTTAGGCCCGATCCCACCAGCAGTTGGACATCCCTCGAGGGTTCCCAGATTGGAGAGGGTACAGGCTGGGCTGAGGGACACCCCCCCACCCCACCCTGTGCATGACTTTCGTGCACCAGGCCTCTAGTTTTTAATAATTGTTTAACTGTTTAGGAATTTATTTTTGGAGGAGAGAGGATGGAGGAAAAGATACTTTAGCGTTAGACTGCTCCTCCTAACCACAGCCCTTTTTGGAGACATTTCTGTTCTTGACTTTCTTTGGATTCTTCTTCTTAAAGAGATGGCTAAACCCATAAAACCATCTGAGCCTGGGATCTGGAGTAATTTTTTTAAACTGCAAGTCAATTTCTTTGTTATTAATCAGACCAAGTATTTTATTTCTACCTGATTAATTTTAACAATTTGTTTTCTTTAAAAAATTCCTATTTTGCTTTCAAATGTATTGGCAGAAGTTGTTCATAATGGTTCTCTCATTTTATTTTATTTTTATTTTTTATTTATTTATTTTTTTGGTTCTCTCATTTTAAAGCCTTTATTTGTTGTGAAGTTTTTCAGGTTTTTCTTTCTTTCTATCAATTGCTGTATTTTATTATTTTTAGAGGAACAAGGTTTTTATTTTATCAATTTGTTTTGATTTTTATTATTTTCTTCTCTGAATTGTGCTATTTCCTCCTTTATGCTTCCTTCGAGTTATATTGGTCTTACTTTTAGCTTCTTTAAATGGTAAACTCATTAATTTTGTCATTAAATGCAGCTGGGCTATCAATGCCACTCTAAGCTATCCTTTAGCTGCACTCCTGAGTGCTCATCTGCATAATTCTGTAGTCCTGCAGATAGCAGAATTTCCAATGACATTTCTTTGTTAACCTTTAAAATTGTCTTTTCATTGTTTTTTAAAATTGTGTGTGTATTTTATTTGTGTTGGAAAATAATACATATTTTTATACTTTTAGGGGACAAATGGGTATTAATACCTGTGAGAGATAACATTTTCACCCTTGACTGCTAATCTTTGCTCTCTATATTTTGAGCATAATTGTTATATGCTTAACCAAGTCCTAAACTGCATTTCATGTGTTATCAGCATTGCTATCCCAGCTTCCTTTTGGTGAGAGTTTGTCTGTTACATCTTTTTTCTTTCTTTTATTTTCAACCTTTGCATAACTTTGTTTTATGGTCTCTCTTAGCAGTTGTTACATCCAATTTGATACTCTTTCCATAGGTCAGTTTAGCATCATCACGTATGTTGCGACTGAGAAATATCTGGACTTATTTCTTCCATCATCTTTTGTGCTCCAGCTCACCATGATTTTCCCTTTCTGTACCCTACTCTTTTTCTACTGGATTAACTACCCTTTTTTCTTCTCTACCTTCCTGGTTTAAAAGTTATCAAATGTATTCTTGTTTTGGGATGGTAATTTTACATTTCTTTTGTTACCTTTATATTGTTGACATACATAATAAACTTAATGTTATTCCATCTTCACCACTTTTCTGATAACGTAAAGTGTTTTGAACATGCTCACTGCCTGCCCCATTTCTGCTCGAACACGTGCTTGCCAACCTGTGAGTAGATGCGCAAAACAGAGCACTGCTGTGCTGGGCACGCAGACCTGAGGGATTCTGCGCCTTTACAGATGAAGGCAGACAGCAAGAGTTGCTGATATTTATTCAAACTCCATCCATATAATAAAGAACTCGGATTTTCAAATTTCATTTACATCAGCAGAAAAAAACACAGAAAACAGTGACGAAGACATGAGGTTTTAAAGTGCCTTTATGAGGAAGCGATCACAAAAGATGGTGGGCAATCCCGGGCTGAGATGGCAGGAACGGTGTCTGAACAATCAATATATTAATTAAATTATGAGACACATCATTTTTTTTCCAAATAATTTATACACCAGAAAAAAAAGCTGCCAGGTCTTGCACATTTACTGGTTTATTACCACACTCCAAGGCCTGGCTGGCGATGAGGCCTTGCCCATGGTGGTGGGGGGAAGCCTGTCGGCCTCGCTACAGCAGGGCCCGGGCTCAGAGAGGGCTGTAAAGTGACAATTTCCAGCAGCATGGAGGCTATAAATACATCCCTTACATTGGATACATATGTACACGCATCAACATATATACACACATATAAAAATATCTGCCCCAGCCAATACAGAGAGTGTTTCCAAAGAACAGAATGTGTTTCTGAAACACACAAAAAAGGTAAAACAGAAGAGTTTTCTTTCCAGTTCTGCTTTGATTGGAATAAAATAAACTCTGACCTTTAAATTTCTATACTCCGGGTGATTTTATACAGAACACACGGGGCGATTTTACTCCGTGTGCAGGTGGAGGAGGTTGGAAGAGGCAGAGGCGAGTTGAGCTCAGGTTTGCACTAAGGTACATATGACATCGTTGGTTCAGATGATACCCTGCAGAAAATGCATCTTTATGTATTCTTTAAAAACAATTTAAAAATCCTAATTCAGTGAAGCTTGTTAAAAAAAAATCAAGAGTCCCCACTTTTTTTTTTTATAGAAAAGAAGGTTAGTATTTTAAATTATAGTTTAAATGTCCTTTCAAAAATTAACTACACAGGTGAAGACATTTCCTTGGTTTCTAACTGCTTTCGTGTGTAGAAATGCTGCCTAATTTTATCAAGGGACATATTTTCATGCACCTGCTACCAGGTGGGCTGCAGAGACTGCCGTCAATTTCCACGAGAGAGTCCCCCAAACCATTCCGCGGCATGTACAACGTGCTGCCATGTAAACCCCAGTAACAAAAAAATAGTTTTATATCAAATGCGGTATCAAATTGTCATTTTATGTAAACACAGTGATTCTTGGTAAAGGTCAGAGGCCGAAGTACCATGAAAAATGGCCGTGGGATTCGTCCCTGCTTTAAAAAAAAATGTGTAAAAGACAAAAGAGTCCCCCCCCTCCCCCTCTCTCTTCAAGCTGTTGGATCAGTGAATCAGTGACGGCTTTTGGAAGCAGCCCCATAGTATGCACATCCCTGCGAAAGCACCGGACCAGAAATGTCAGAAACCGAAGCAGAGCGGTGGGGATCGGCTCCTCCCTGGCTGCCTGGCGGAGGCGGAAGGGGTGGCCCCTTCTAGGAGCCCTTCTTCACAGGTGGTCTGTTGGCCTGCAGCACCCCCAGACTTTCCGATTTTCCCAGGAAGCTTGGTGTTCTGTCTTCCCCTGGGAGCCAGGGCCTGCGCCCTGGGAGGGGGTCCTGGCGTGGAGGCTGGAGGGCAGACTCTTCCTGAGCCTTTGCATGTCCCCATGTCCTGCACTATGAGGTTCTGTGGGCAGCGGCAGCTCCTCGATCGGGTCTTGTCAGGGTCCTCCTTGTCCAGGGCGTCTTAGAGCACCGTCCCCTCACCAAACTAGGCAAGCCCAAGCCCAAGCAAAGGAAAACTTAGGGGTCCGCAGGCTGGCCTCCTGCACCGGGGGCCCAGCGGGTGCTACCCCTGCAGGTCAGAGAGGGGGGCGCCGCAGCTCTCGCTGCAGCTGGAGGAGTTGCTCAGCAGAGCGGACCCTGCGCTGGACTCTGCGGGAAAACCAGGCGAGAAGGGCTTCGGCTCCGTCCTTGCACACTCCGGCCCCTCTTTCTTGGCCACAGGCTCCAGGTGGTGACACCCGGTGGGCTCAGGGCACAGCCAGCGTGGAACGGGGGGTCTTACCTGGGCTGCTCAAGCACTGCGCCGAGCTGGACTTGCCGAGGAGCACGGACAGGCTGCTGGC